CACACGATTCCCTACACACACTATAGCCACTGTACACATGCACACTGGATCACACACATACAACACTCAGTTGCCCAGTCTGTCATCCCGCCTAGGGCCCTTTGCAATCCTTAATCTTGATCGTAATCTTAATCCTACTGTGAACACTTGCTATTTTCGATTCCCTAGATTCACTGTTCATTCAATAAACTATGGTCAGGATTATTCACTAAAGTGAATTACAAAGTTAAAGTCAATATAGCTGAACACTTCCAATACAGCTACTTTGGACTTGCATATGAAATTCAATTTCAATTCTCACTATAATGAAAATAAGTGAATAAGTGAGACTTTAGTGACTAGCCCTGAGAACTTAGTGAGTAGCCCTGTGTGTCTTGAATATTAAAGCAATGTAGTAAATGTAAAACATGAACAGAAATGCCTGTAACAACATGGAATGTTTCCTTCTGTTGCAGATCCTTGTGTCCATAGAAATAGTAATATCAAGAATTTCCCGAGGCAGATTACCAGTTTGCCCCCCCTTTAACGCTTAGTATAGGGATGTTGAAAAGAGCCAGGTATTTTCAAGGTGTACGGGCCCCTGTCTAACATTAGGGCTCTAGCAGCCACCTTAGGTCACATATGGTAAATCTGGCTAGATATGTCTTTCTTATTTTGGCCATGCATATGGAACCCTGTGTCTTTGCTAATAAGAGACTGGGGGAAAAGGCAACATTTGATTGCAGTGACTCTGCTTGTTTTTGTTCGTAATACTAAGGCATCAGGAAACCAACTCATTAAAATTGTGACATCAACTTTGTGTCATTGTAACCTCATGATGTCATGGCTTCCTTGTGCACTTCTTCCATTGTGGGCTTATGTATGCATATTTATTCCATAATCACAGCCTAACTATAGTTCCAGGAGTCTCACATATATCTGCTGTCATGATCTGCCCTTCCTCCCACGTGGATTTGGTGTTCCCACTAATTTAGGTCCAATGATAACACAAGTCCATTGGCTCAGCCTGCAGGACAAAATGCCCACTGTGCTAAATCACTTGATTTCTTTTTCCCTCAGTGAGAGAGGTTAAACCTCCCAATGAGAAAACACACATATTTAGTGTTACTTCAAGGTTCTTTAATTATATAGAAATAAAAAGAGAGCAACAATAAAATAGACACAGAGAGAGAATTAAAAGAAAAGTTGTATTTTATTACAAGTGAAAGCTATCACAATGTTTTATTTTCTCTAAACTCTATTATTAGTATTGTATATGCTATCCTGAAATTCCTGGAGTTTGTTTTGGAGTATAGAAGCCACATGAAGGACTGCTCAGCCCTTTACTGTAGTCATATGACACATGGCTAATCAGGTTGAAGCTTGAGGTGAAGGGCAAGAAACAGAAAGGACACCAAAGAAGGCAAAGAAAAATGGACCCCTCAACTCTGCAAGTAAGTTAACCAGGTTGACCTGTATATTAGAACTCTGTATTCTAATTACCATGTGGGCCCTGGAATATGTTTCTGCAGATACAGTTGATCACACAGAGATTGCAACATTTTAAGGAAGTACATTGAGTACAATGCTCCATTAAGGCAATATCAACATTGGGACATAGGGCTATCAAAATAACCTCAAAATCACTACTTGTGTAATAAAAGGACCCCAACAAGTGCACTATAAAGTTCTATCTGAGACATACAGTGGTTACAGAGAGATTGTTATTAATTAAAGTCACGATTTGCAACGTTATTCCATGGTTTTGCCAAAAATAAATTCTGATTTCTAAAAGGGACTAGTTTAGCTGCTTTAGTTAAGTGTAAATATCCCACTAACCCAGAAACATAAGTCATATTGGCACTGTTTGGAAAACAACTTGACATTTTCAAAACATGACTTCTGCATCTCACATTTCATTCCTGCTTTATATCGAAAATAACTGGGTTACCTCTCACATTTATCGTGTGTTTTTTAAATAAAGGAGCTCATCACAATGCAGTGAATTCCTCAAGAAAGGAAGAAACTGAGTGAAGATATAATATTTTAAAGAATTAAAATGAAAATGTCCCAATCTCACATGCTAAGCAGATGCTCCAACTCCTGTAGGGTGCAAAGAGTCTATGATGAAAAAAGGGTTATAAAATTGTAATTATTTTTTTTATCCAGTCTCTGTGTCAAAAGAAATGTAATACGGTTAGGTAACAAACACCAGACTACAGCTGGCATTGATGAAGAATTGGATAATGCTGGAGTGTGATTAAATCCCACATTTATTTCAATGACATTGGACATTGAGATTTCAGAATCTGATTCACAAACATTTTTTGCAACCAATCCCAAGCCACTTCTTTTTGGAACATGTAGAGTTTATAGCAGACATTCCTGAACATGTGTCTAAACCCTTTTGATTCAAAGTGTCAACACACATCTGGTTTACCTGCGCAGGCTGACTTCAAGCTGAAACAACAACCTGGGGAATCTCCTCTAGACTGCTTTTGCAGGGAATAAGACTACGTCTTCTTTAATTTAAGCAACGAACGAGAGGTTTTCTAGTCTAATTAATTAAGAAAAGTGTTCTTACAGAGAAGAAAGATAAATTCCAAACAAGCATGTCAGGTAACAGTTACATGGGCTCAACATAGGGTGATTGCTAAGGGTCCAATTAATCGTCTTGTTATATCTAGAAAATATTTAATGAGCTTGACTTCCATTAAGTTACCTTTCTAATGCTAGAGGGGCCCTATTCCTGGTGATCATGGTGTAAGAGAGTGAGGTTTGTGCCTGTGCTGGCACAAACCTTATTCGGGTTCTTCTGTCCCATTCCTGTTCTATGTTCTTGCCTTTTGTAATGCAGTGCATTCAGTATAAGACATCAGATCCTGGCACACACTTCAATCCAAAGACTCAGCTGAGATTGATGGAGCACTAAGGAGCCCTGTGTGCACAGAATTCTGATCCCTTGTGGTTACAATATTGGATGAACAGACATATAATAGAATTATCCTGGTCCTTATTGGCCCCAGTCGTACTGGAGCTGTATAGTGCCACTCATGGTTTTTCCCTGAGACAGTCCCAGATACCTTACATTACAAAACTGGGGCCAAGGTATCCGCTGACAGTACTGAAATTTAGTACTTTTATGTGTGAAATTCTTAAAGCCTTAGTCTCACCATATTTCCTCTTTTATTGGTGCTGCTTGATAAACTGGTTTTAGAGAGGTTACATAATTTTTCATTTAAAAATAACATTATGTTTCGTGAAAAAAAAATGTTTTTTTTACTACAGTGTATGTGTTTCTACAATATCTGTATAAAACTTTTATTTTCTATCAGTATTTTTTTACCAAAATACTTAGAAATTCCCCTTGTTTTCAAGAATGTGCTAAGAATTTTGTAGAACTGTTGCATACCTCATCATTCCAAAATCCTGTTCTGACCTATTACAACACTGCAGAGAATTATTATTATTTGGTATTGATATTCATATTTCGCAGCTCTGTACAATAGAGGGAATACAGACAAATAATGGACATGCACCAATACAAAAGGAAGAGAAGACCCTGCCAGTGAGCTTACACTCTAGCAAATTCTGTACTTTTCAACAAAGTACTTAGCAAGATAATTCATGAGCTTACAATCTAAAGGTAAAAACAAGGAGCTGAGACATGAGGTTGCAGGGAGTATTTGAAGTTGATGGCCAGAGATCTGGGGAGGTATGTAATTACGCTAAATGACCATGCATGAGGACACCCAGCGTCAACTAAAACTGATTCAGTGCTTTCCTATCGGGTAGTCCTAAAGCGATTGCGGCACTCCCCGCACATGCGCATTAGGCCCGGCTGACGTCGGTGGAGGAGCGGAGACGAAGCCTGACCCTGCACCAAGGGACATCTGTGATGGAATAAGGTAAGTGGCAAAAGGGTTTTTAACCCTTTCAGCGGTATGGGGCCTGTAAGGGAGGGGGGCACAGCTTTGCATTCCAAGCACTATAGTCTCCCTGTAAATAATACACAACGCAGACTGAAAAATATTATTGAATCAATTATTGGTCAATGTTCCATCAAAAATCATAAAGGCTAACACGTTAAAGTAATTCAGTAATGTTTGGGATGTGAGAAAGGCAATCCTGGAAAACAAAACCATCTGAAATTTGATTACGAGTAAATTCTTAGATGGACTAATTCACATCACAATCTCCATTTATTTGCATTTTATTCTAGTACCTTATTTCATGACACAGTTACAGGTCATATTGCACTGGTTTTTACTCCCAGGGTACTCACAGTGAACCAAGTCTAAGTCACACCATAAAGTACAGGGGTTAAGCCGCTCAAACGTTACACATTCCTCCATATGTCTCCTGCTGCTGCCAGCCCCCACCGCATTCTTGGCCAGGATCCGTCACAGCAAAACGGGCCTTCTCTCCCTTGATTTTCATCAGCTAAGTGGATTTTAAACCACTTTTGATATCGGTTTTCAGAGATGAAATTCCAGGCGTGTAGATTTCACTGAGCCAAGAGGTTTGGTGAGACTGTGGAGGGATTATAGAGACTGGCAGACCCCCTACACAGTCTGAACAGCTGCGTGCTGGACTGGAGAATAGATATGTGTAGCCTGGCATCGACTATTAACCCTATCTCTGCTCAATATCGAACATATAAATAAAAGACGGGTATGTGCTATTTTTACAGTGTTAGCATCTAGACATTTAACTTGTTTCAGTGTGCCCATCATTACGCTTAACTTGTTTGCCAATTTTTAAAATTCATTTTTTTCTTTCTAAAGTGCTATGTAGCATGTTGGCACTATATAAATAATAGTCATACAATAGTCATAGTGGTCATTTAACCTCTAAAATGTAAGCTCGTTTGAGCAGGAGCCTCAACACCCACTGTCTTGTTGCAAATGCTTGTCTGTTAGTCCACCCATTGTACAGCGCTGCAGAATTTGTTGCCGCGTTATAAAGAATAATAATAATAATTACTAACATTATGAACATAGAAATATTGCAGATATTGCAGAACAGGAGGTACTTGACTGTGACCCCTATTCTAGCAAGATGGAGAACAATATATCAGTGCCACCATCGCACCACGATACAGGTTCTTCTTTTATCTCTGTCACTACAACACCTCATGCAAACAAGCACAGACTTCATGGGTAATAAGGCAACTCTATTGCCACCCCGCTGTGGAGGGAAATCCAATGAACCGTGATTCTTGTGTGCGCTCCGTAATATCCTGCTGTGGCAGAAAAGACCCAATGAACCATGGGTCCCTGTCTATACATGTCACACTGTCCTGCTGGGGGGGGGAAATACTTCAGCACGCACCTTAGCTCAAATGGTAATTGCTATTTTTTTCCCATTTTCAGGCTAAAAGGGACCTGGCAGAGATGCTACCCCTGCTGCACCTGGCCACGCTGTTTGTTTTACGCAGAACTGTTGCTGGGCAATGCTCCGAAACATCTGGAAATGTGCAGATAAAAATAAGAATATATCACGTGTTTTTTTGGTTGACTGTGGAGAGGCTGCATTCAGTCTATTCAGATAAAAATAAGAATATATCACATGTTTTTTTGGTTGACTGTGGAGAGGCTGCATTCAGTCTCAAATGGCACAAACAGAACACAATATGATACTATTTTAAATGTAAAATTCTAAACTACTAGCATTTTGCTAGAATGAATACATTGAGATTACCTGTCATTTGCAAGCATGTCTTGGGGAGGATGTACGATATATTTATATACAGATACAAATTAACTGGGCTATACATGTCAGCCATATTCAGCTGTAGAGCTATGTATAGCAACACATCCATATTAACCTGCTGGCTGCTTCTCATTCATGAAAAAATATGAGCGAAATACTCCTGGGAGTAAATGAAAGGTCACAGGGTACTTCCACTCACTTGTACAAATGAATGACCGAGAAGACTACTTAAACCCACATTTATTTCCTAGCACATTCCTAATCACTACTGTACATTATTATTATTATTATTTATAAAGTGCCAACAAATTCTGCAGTGCTGTCCCCCTAAATAACTCAGTGTCTTACCCTGATCATACTTCTGACACTACTTTACTATACATCAATAAAAACATATTTTTGGCAATCTTCTTTATTGCGTGTGTAAAGATAACAGAATGCTTGGTAAGCCACAACAGCTTCCGCAAACACAGAAAAAACATGTGATTCCTAACAGCATTATGACAATTGTTTATATCGCACTTTTTAAATTTTTAGTATGCTTCAAGATATGCGACTATTGGAAGAGTGTCACATTATGCAAGCCAAGTATGCATCACTGATAGACATGTTACAAGATAAATCAAATAAATGTTATAGTTTGGCTCTTGGTGTCTGCCCAGTTGCTATTGCCGCCAAGCGCGGTTGGTAATATTGAATAGATGTAGAAGGCAGACCCATGGGGGTTACATGCAAAAGAAAAACAAGACTTAAACCTAACTTATATACATGAAATGGAAATGAAATAAAGAAGACGGTTCATGAGGGAATGTGGCCCTTAAGGTAGTGACTGTGGGCACCTGCAGCCTGTGGTGATTACCTTGACACCCCAAAGTCAAACTTATATGCTGTGCGTGTGGCACATCGATCAGCAAGCTTTATGTGGTGTGCGTGTGCAGCAATGCGAAGTACCATAATGCTGCCCTGTTCAGCCTAAATAGGTGAACTTGTGAGTTAATATCAGGATTGTGGTGATAGCTTCCCGACAGCGCAGACTGTGGGCAGTGTGTGTCACAGAGGCTGAGAAATAAAAGGTCTAAATAAATGCAAATTGTAGAGTTCAAGTCAGCTTTACTGGGTCAGTCTGTATGCCATCCCTGCAAACCAAGTTTCTTGGGTCCCTGTGTCAGCCGATTCCTCTGCTGGGCATACTAGGAGAAGGCATCCGTGTGTTCCGGGGGGTGGAGAGGAGTTGTGGGTGGCAGGGGGCTTCTCCCTAGCTCCAGGCCTTGTGTGAGGTCAACATCCTTAGGCCACAGACTAGGGTACTCAGCGAGGCCGTGTCTCTCCCGTTATGGGCCCTGTGGAAGGTTCTGTTGGTCGTCCGCCCTCAACTGCGGGTGGCCTTTCTGCATTGTGGTCGATGTCCCGGAGGGGATCTCCTGGTGACCTCCGGCGTAGATGGGCACTTAGCTCTGTGGAGGACTTGGGGTGCAGCTTTGCCCGGGATAAGCTGTTCCGCCTCACGACCTCTGCTGGCTCCACCACCCTGTCATGAGTAGAGGGTTGTAGGGCATTGCGCTGCTCCAACTTCTCCAAATAGCAACAGAGCAGGTCATCCAGTAACTTGTGTAGGGGCTGAGAGGGTGCAGGTCCAGAAGCGTGGTAGGTAGCTGAGTGTGGGCTATAGCAGGTCTCAGGTGCTGGTGGCAGCGTGTGAGCCCGATTTGTGGGGACCAGGATACCCCCGCTGGTCCATAGGGGGGGGGGCTTCGCACAGGTTCAGTCGAGAATCGTGGCGGTGGGAGAGCTTCTCCCCGTTTCGCCCATGCTTTTGGCCTCGAGAGATTATCGAGCGGAGCAGGCAGGGACATCCACTTGCGTGGTATCTGCAGGAAGGTCGCAAGGTTCCCTGTCATATGGCAGCCTGCGTGGGCCCAGTACTAGCTCCGGTTCGGGTAGGTTCAGTAGAATTTGCAATAGCTCGCAAGAACAACTGCAACCTGCATCCGCCTTGTTCTGCAGTCAGGCCCCGCCCCCATAAATCAATAAATTAGTAAAGTGGCAAAATGCAAAAGTGATAATGGTGCCCCCATTCATTATTATTATCTTCTTTAATTTAAAATAATATAATGTTAAAAAAACAAAACAACAAAAAACGAAAACAGGCTAACAGGTAAAAAGACATCTAGATTTTCTGATACAAAATCTTGAGAGTTTTCACAGATTTTGATAATAGTGCCACCAGCACCAATACATCTCAAATCACTTCAAGATCACTACTGGTTTTGGCATTCAAATAATAATATGAGGAGTAAGCTATGGTGTCAGTCTACTCTGTATTCAAACTGTTAGTTAACTGCACCTTCAATTATTTATTATCATTATTATTTTTTGGATGGACCTTAACCAGTATAAATTGAATTACTTTATAAATGAATTCCCCTTGGAGCTGTTAGTAGCAGATTCTGCTATATTTCAGCCATAAATGTGTGCAGTATGTTCCATACAATGTCATTTTTTTCTTAATTATTCCTTTAATGCTGTTTTGAGACCTATTCTGACCTGTTTTCTGCTCAATATTATATCCGAGCTATACGCCGAAAGACACGGTACGAAATAACTCCGTGCTTTATAGAAATGTCATTTCTAGTAAACATTTTGTACGAGCATATGAATGAGGTGCATATGTAAGAACTAAATGTCCAAATAATGCTTTTTGAAAAGAGATGTTCCCCATTCATTGCAGTAAAATAGGGAAAGAAGAACACAAATCACATTAATATAGTGTGGTGACTGGCAAAGCAGCGTTACTGCCTGGAGATGTATGAGTATTTTCATACTTGGCTATAAATCTACATTAAAAGTGTTTGGATGAATTTGCTTTTTGTGTGTTTCTCCTCTTTTTATCAATGTCCTATCAGCTGTACTGTACGCTGCGCTTTTACTTGACATTCCGTAAATTAACGGTGGAGATCGGCCGGTTGTAGGCGCATCTATTTATCCATGAGGGTCATTTTGTATTTGTAACATCGAGAATTGGATAGTGATTACTGAATGTCACAAGCAATCTGGTGACATCTCAAATATTTCTTCATCTGCCATCCCAGTTTATTCCGAATTTAAAAATGGAATTATTAAAAGTTTTTTTGTTTTTTTTTTTTCAATTTTCAGTATTTACATAGGGCAAATGAATGGCTAACCAAAACTCATGGAGTTAGTCACGTATGATTTATGAAGAAGTGACAAGGAAATTGCAAATTTGTGGTCAAAATTTCCAAAATGGAACACATTTCCAACCATAGTATTTTGATTTTCCAGCTCAGGTGTTCTGGGCTAAAATCTACATCGTCCTTGTTAGTTTTCTGCAGTTTCTGGTTTAGTAACTGAAGTCCTTCGAGATTAACAAGGTATGCGCTAGTAGGCAGAACAAACGTCTGTACCTTTTCCTCTGTGTGTTTGTGCCAGTATTCAAAGCAGTACAGTGAAAATAGATTCTATCATGTTGTACTGTAAACTGTTATCATAAATATGGAGCACAAATGAATTAAAGATAAAATGATGACATTGCCTTGTAGAAGCATTGGACATTTCTTGAAAAGCCCAGTAAAATGATTCTTGGCCAGGACAGGAGTTCTGCAGGACTAAGATTTTCTAGCCTCCGATAACCACTCAGCTGAGGATATTGGATATAGTCGCCTGCTTAGCAGCCTTCATCAAACTATAAATAAGGATATGATATCATTCCCTTATTAAAACATGTCTTCATGATATATACAGTTCCTTAATATACTATGATTATGTGGCTGCTCTTGAGGAGAGCTGTATGGCAGGCACTTAAGGGATCCAGAAAATGCATCCTGAACTGTCTTTATGATCACTTTCAGAGTAATAAGGAGATCAATGCTAACATGGCTGAACTGAATAATGGAATAGGCCAGGGCAGGGGTAAATTCAGAGCCCAAACTCAGGAAGGGCACTGTGGGATTAGTGACAGATACTAAAAGGGGGACACATAGAGTAGCACAAATACCGATACACAAAATTACAAAAACCCATGCAGTGACAAATACTTACACACATTTAGGCTTGCTGTTTCTGCAATGACATTTATAATGACACTTGCCTTGCTTTTTGACTTACAAACCAATTAAATGGTCAATTTGGCCTGTTTGTATAACAGGCTTACCGTGCCCTGGCAATATTTTTAATAACTTATATGCAGGAATTTGGGGACAGAGTGGGAGTGACACCTCAGTTAGCCTCTGTTGTCACTCAGACCCCAGACAAATTCTCCTGGTTTCTCGAGGGGAGCATTCGCCACAATGCCACCCACAACACTCTTATCAGTCTTGGAACTCCCTCAGGACTCTCTACCACAATCTGAGCCACATGCCTCAGCGCTAACTTCACAGAGATGGAACTTCACTAGAGGCAGGTAAGCCCAATGTTTTTAGCTAATCCATAAAGGACTCACATGAAACTTTAAAAAAAAAAATGTTTTACATTTTCCCTAGCCCTACGCGGCCCTCCATACATA